CCAATTTAGCCATCTGCCTTAAAATAAAATAATCTCATCCATAGATTAAGAATAAACGTAATTAATCCCGACATAGACATATTTAGATAATTAATCCTTAAAAAAAGAATTTTGAGATAATTAATCCGGTCACTGACATAAATCAGCTTTAAGAAGCTTAAATCGAATCAACGGTTGGAAAAGCTGGAACCTGTCATCATCTCATCAAGATTTAGCCCCGACGTTAACTAAAATAAAAGAAACAAGTTTACCGCTTACATCTATATTTGAAATGTTTTTCATGAGACGCATTACTTACAAAGGGAAGCCCTGGAAGCCACTGTTTAATTGTTTCATTTATCTGATTCAATAAAAACTATTTGACGCTAATCTGTTTCAAAGAGAAAAAAAAACATCAGGATATTGAGAAAATATTTTTAACAAAACACATTTACATCCCAAACGTGTACATAAAAATGGAAAGCATTGCAAATTGTCACCACACAAACGTTACATTTTATGTTATATTTAATGTATGTGCAAAAAAAAGTAACCAAATTAAATAGATACATTAATAATTGAAGGTCAGCAACAAGTTAAACAATACGCCTATCACGAGATCAGCGTCTGTATTTACCAGAGTTTCTTTCAGACATTACTTCTGTGGGGGGGGGGGGGGGGGGCAAGAGACACTTAACCAGTGTCCGTCCCCACCGGAAATTAACATGCGCTGCTCACCCGTGAAATCTCCCCCCCCCCCCACCCCTACCCCCGGAAAGTTTCAAGTTCCTCCTCTCTCCCCCACCCCCTTCGGAAAAAAATGAACATGGCACCTTCGAGTTGATTAACGAAGGCGGCTATTATCGAGGTTAATGGCTATATCTCCTTCTTGGCTAAAAATCGTCCATTTTGATTACTGAAGACGCCATCTTGAAATCAAATTATACACCACCTTTTTGGTTGAAGAAGGCCTCCATTCTGAGGTCATTGACCCCTGACCCCAATTGCCACGATATGGCTGACAACACATTTGACTTTATATGCTAATTGTGGGACGGAAGAGTTGAGCGAGTTGCCAGATACGTTTAAGTGGTGGAGGTGAAGCGAGAAAATTAAATGACTTCATCCGTTTGCCAAGTTGGCCGTCTGTATAGTCAAGTCAAAGGTGTCGGAAAGAAGGAGCATTTGAAAACAAAAAGCCGGTAATCGACATTGATAACAGCATTACCGCTGTTACATAATTATATATATATATATATATATATATATATATATATATATATATATATATATATATATATATAAACTTGGAACATTAGTTTCAGAGCTGAAAGAAAGTTACATATTTCTGTTATGCCATTAAACCAAAGCGCCGTTCTAAATATACCGTTTGTTTCCAGTTATCCCTTACTCACTAAAGTGTGATTCCAACAAATGTTCTGTCGTATGTGCCTATGTATGCTGGCTCTTCTTCTACCCTTGGGTCCACTAATTGGAACAGAAAACGTCAAACATTACTATCTGCTATCTCTTCATCGACTCTTTCATGTGGCATCCGAAAGCTTTCCCTGTCGGTCGCTCTGTGTGTGTTGACTGTAATCAATTACCAACCTAACGCTTAACTATGTAATTAGACAGCAACAATGCTTAAAAGAGAATATTGGTAGTTTCATCGAGTCTTTCATGTAAAGTTAACGAAATGATATTAATAATGTGTACTAAAGATTCATTTCTAAAATCTGTAAGGGTAAATCGACATTTTGATACCAAAGAAGTTAACGCTGCAAATTAATAAACATTTATGGCTCGGAGATGCCATTTTAGCGCAACGGAAAAATGCGCATCGGACAAATGTCTATGCATACACAGAGGCACGTACACGCTCAAACATATGCGCATGAACATACACACATTGTCATAATCCTCTTTGGTGAGTGATCTGTGTGTAATTTTTTATGTACGCAATTTTTTTTATTTAGGCTACGCATTTTTTTCTGTGTGCGCATATTTCTCTTTGCGCATTTTTCTATGTGCGCAGTTTTCCGTTGCGCGTTTTTTCCGTTGCGCATATTTCTAGTCACCCATTTTAGCAGCTCTACACTGATATATGTATTATTTTAAGTAAGTTGTTTTCATTTGTAAACCCAAGCTTTTATATGACAACATAAATTTTATCGGAATAAAATCTAAAGCTATAAACTTGTAGAACTTAATTTCGATTTTAAATCTAATTTTCTTTATTTTGTTTTTAATACATACAAAACAATGTCAACATATTATTAATGTGTTTAAAATTAACCCTTCGATTTTGCTTTCTAGTTTTGACGAACATACCTAGACGGAGAGTCAGACACCTTTACTTTGTTTGTAAAGCACCGTGGAACCGAACTCGATTCCTTTATGTTAACAGTCACGCCCTCTACACCTTGAACACGAGATAACCTTAACCCTAACACGACCACCATTATAAAACACCAATCAGAAAACACCTGTTGCGTAACCAGAAACAGGCGCGACCGCAGTCAAAAACATATCAAGCGTTACCAGCATTAGTTCCGTTGTTATTGCGCAACTTCTGCTGTAACATTTCGTAATGATAACTTTTAACAAATAACCCCTCAAAGGTCAGGTAAAAATCGAGACTGTGGTATAATAAAACATAACCTCTACAGCTATGCCGTTTTGCTAAATTATTATCCTGACCTTTCAACAAGTTCCGGTTCAAGAGGTATAAAAATCTGTTTTCTCCATTACCACTAAAATCAATATACTGTACGGCCACTGAATGAAATATTTCTACAGCGAAAATGATGCAAAAACTATTAGCTAGCAATCGCCTAACCTGCCTAGCATTAAGTTAGAAAAATCTTGTTTTTTTTTTCCCCCCATCAGGTTTTTTTGTAAACTCTAAGAAGCAAGAAGTAAACAGGCCCAAGGGAAATAACCAGTTGCCAGAGGTTGATCTTCAAAGTATCGCTCGAGTAATTCACTTGTTGATCAGGTAATCGATTATGTTGTCTTGTTTTTAGTGAGCGGCAT